GTTGTTTTATGAAGTAATGACAGAAATATTTACTTGGGGAAGTAAACAAAAGTTATTGGTATTAGTAATGAAATGTAATAAAGATTTTGAATCATAATTTCTTGACTGTTGTTTAACTGTTTTCTGATGTAAACTTTATTGAGTTGGTGGCCACATGAGCTTGCCACCAACTGCATATTTCCTGGTATTTAAATAAATACTGTTTATAACAGTTTACTCCACAACTTATTTTATAATTTTGTCAGTTCAACTTCTATAAAATAATTTTTATCATTGTAATCTCATAGTTGATGTTTTTTAACTGTAATATTTTTTAGTTATTTTACTAGTAAAACACTATTAAGATTGTCATTAAAACTAATACTGAACAAAGTGTAAGAGTGCTAAAATATGCGAGTTCAATGTAAAGGATGTAAAATATGAATTTTGTGTATTTGAACATTGAGAAATTTTCTGTGTATAAATAAGGAGGTTTTGCAACAGGTTGTTTATACCTTATGATGAATCACACTTTTGATCTTGCTCTGACAACATTATTAAATTGGTTGTCTCAGTTGAATCATCTTGTTTATCTTGATATACCCATTACTTTATGAGTAAATTTCAATTTTCACATCACTTAATTGGGCATCCTGGATGGCATCTAGTACACAGTACACTTATCAAAAATCACTTATCACAGTACACAAATCAAAATAAATTTTAAATTTTTACTTACATTATATAATTGTCATTGTTTCTTGAGTTTTGGGATTTCATGTGACTCTTGTGGAAATCCTTTATTAGAGGTCAAATTCCTAAGAGTTAAGCTCACTTACACTTCTTGTAAAATACATCCCTTATAGACTTTTTCTTGTAACATGACACTTCATTTACAGGTAGATTTGTCCATTCTGGACTCTCATACCTTATTTATTTACTTCTTCAATTTTCCTAGACATTATTCCATCCTGTTTTCAGGTGTTTCAAGAGAGGGTGATGCCCTTTAGAAGTGAACAGAAGATGTCCTCAGATGATGGATGTCTCTTCCCATCTCAGCATGAATATTCTTGCATAGCATCATTTCGTAGATCCAGTACTTTCTTTCACTTCATTACTTTGTGTTCCCATTGGACCGACCCTGAGCTGTTAAACCCATCCTCAGAGCAACCTAACTTCCTGGGTGCCTTTTGACTAGGCTGGTTGCAGTACTTTGCTGTCCTTTTCAGTTACAGATGATGGGTATTTTAGCCCTAAGAGTCCATCCAGTATGTATGTAATTACTGTTTTTCTTCACTGAGAATCTTCCACTAACAAGTACAGAAAAATCTTTGTTCTCTGACCATGGCTACCTGTTTAGCTACCATTTTGGAACCACACTTGAGAATGTGTATAACAATCTAAGTATATCCAAGTTCTTCACCCCATCTTTATATTTTTAAATGAAGGATGCATAAGTGAAAAATTACTCTGCTCAAAAAAATGCTTTACATTCGAGTGTTCATATTTCCATATTTTTCATTCCTGTATCTATAGAAGATGGTCCTTTTCACCAAATTCTTCCAGAGGTATCTTATCCAGTGCCTGTTTTGCTTCTGTATTTTGTTCAGTCTACTTGATCACAAGATTCAAAGTTGTTGTAGTTTAGATATGTTACCTTTCCTGTCCTAGTGCTCAAAATTTGATGGTATCTGTTTATATATCATTATGACACTTATCAGTTTCCTTCCTCCATCTCATTATATTTGTATTTTTGCTTACAGTATTTTAGAGGTTGGTCTACCCTATTTAATTTAATACTCTTAGGGTTAAAGTGAACTTCAAACTCGTACTTACCTTTAAGATACACTCCTACCCACAATTGGGAGAAATATACATATTATCAAAACTGCAAACCAAAAATCAAAGCTTATGTAGTTTCCTGTGGCACTTGCAAAGCAAGTCATGTAAAAACTGGAACAGTGGAGAATTTTGGGTAATGTGGCACATGTAATGCACTGCACCAAGAACTTTCAAACCAAAAGCCACTTGGTTGTTGACAGACAATGACTCAGCAAGAATAGGCTTACAGTATTTCAGAGGCGAGTATAAGTTTGAAATTCATTTTAATTCTAAAGATCTAAGATTTGATTTCATGTGTGTGCTGTATGGAAATTACCTTATCCTGCTTTCTGTCCCAACAAAGCTTAAAGTTCCAATGTATATTCTGGTCATTTGTTGTCTTTCTTGTTTTTCTTTTGCTCTTCACATGTGAAATTATTATCTGCATAACATTTTCAAAACCTGCAGTTTGCTGGGAACTGATACTTTTACTGGTAGATGTTAGTGTACCACAAAAGAGATTATAATTTAGTGAAGCATAAGGTATATTCAGTCTTGTTTTAGATGAATATACATTATTTATACTTCTAGAAACAGGAGAAGCTGATTTCTTAGAAGAAAGATCTTCAGATAACACTTTCAAGTTTGGTGTAGCAAAAGAAGAACAAGAAGAGAACTATGATGGAGGAACAGAAAAAACTTAGGTAATTTGTAGATTAAAACTTTTACAGTTTTCATATTGAGGTGGTTATGTAGCTATAATATAAAGTGTCTTTATGGACTTCATTTGCTTAATGTCTTAAACAGTGTATGAAATGTTTTTTATGGAAAGCTGAAGAAATTTACTGAAACTTTAATAAATTAAAATTCTCTTTACTGCTGTTAAAATGTTCTTATTATAGCATTAATGTTAGAAGTTCACAGATGGTATAATATTCTTATACTCGCACTAAAGTCAACAGTCCACAGATGGTTAAACTGTTTTTATTGTAGTATTAACGTTAGCAGATTTTCAATATTCTTATATTATCAGTAATGTTATTCTGTTCTTATTGCACCATTAATGTTAGAAATCCTCAGATTTTACACTGTTCTTGTTGTAGCATTAATGTCAGCCAGCCACAGATATTTCATTATGTCTTTGTTATTTTAATAATAATAATAACTTCTGATCAGATCTGTGTATACATAGAGTGAAGAATAAAAATCAGTTTTGCCATCATTATAGGTATTTAAATATACTTCTCTTACATTTGTCCCTATAAATATTAGAATTCATTATTTCATCAGTTCAGTATCCTTGCTTTTAACAATATTTCCAATACGGTTCTTCCATCCACTCACAAGATTAGCTTTTCCCGTTTTGTTCTGCCCTCTACATGCTAACTTTTTTATAATTAATGCTACAAGCCTTCTGCACCCCCCTGTTGGAATAAAAGCTTCTAACATGTCTGTTATGCAAATCGTCATGCATCATCTCTCAACCAGTGGGAGAGCACTACTATCACATGATGCATGTGACTCCCTCTATGCGCCACTACCGAACCATCACTTCTTGTCTGGCAGTGCTTGAGTTCGGACGTTCTTTTTTTTTTTTTTGCTCATTACTTCTTCAAGTGGTTTAATTTACTTTATTTGAATAAATGTTTTTGCTTTTTTCATATTTCAGGCCACAGGTGCAGGTGTCCCATTGGGGGATTTATTGGCATTTATATACAGGGAGATTGAGCAATATATTGGACAACCTTTGTCTGCTGCTGTTGCCCCTCTTACTCCTGAGCCTTTCAAGCCTGGCCAGGCTGATGAGGATTTTGATCTTTGTCCCCCTCCTACCCGGAGTTCGCTGTGCCTTCCCAAACCCTACCTGAGGATTCTGTTTGGCCCTCTTAGATTTTATTTCTCAGGTATGTGATGTTTTTTCTGTTGCTCCTATTTCTTATGACCCATGTCCTTCCCTATTACATGATTCTGCCTCCCAACCTTATTTAGTTTTTCCCCCAGCCCCTGATATTTGGGTTCACACTGAGCATTTTGCCTCTCAGTTATGTGATGGCATTAGTATGCCTCATCCCTTGCAGGCATCAGATCAGTCTGCCCTCTCTTATCATAGGGTGGACTGTCCATATCTGGACCCAATTGTTGGGCTTTACCTGTTTAGGGGTGGGACCGGACTCTCCTGTTCATCTTACCAATGCCCAGTATTCCTGCCTTCATCTTACCCTGACAACTCTTTTGTAATACCTCTCCTCAATCCATCTCCTGTCTTCGGCTCTTTACGGGAACCCTGAGTGATTTTCTGGGGACATCCTTTCACTCCCTGTCATCTTTGGCTCTGACCCTGCAAACGTGGTTTATTTGTTGTTGGGACCTTTTGGGTCATGATGCCATATTGTCACGGATCTGTCTCCTGGCTCCTTATTTATGGGACCTTCATGAGGCCCCATGTTTGAGATGTTTCGTGTTTGACACGATCCTGGAATCTTTAGAGTTGAGGGTGGATTTGTTCTCATCTGGTGGCACCGATCCTGTCTCCCTACCCTACCCTTCCCAGTCTCCAATGTTTATCTGCATATTCCCATATTGGAGCATTTTCGTCCTTATTTTTGGTTTGTCCATCGTGGGGTGGTGTACCAGGTCTCTTTGTTTTTGGACTCAGGATCTTCTTTTCAGGGCCCACAATCACCACATGGTGATCTTGGCTTTCCGTGTTCCTGACAGTATAGATTTGGTTGCCAACCAGGTTTGCCCCACAGAATGGTCCCTTCATCCACAGATCTTTTGATGGGTGTGTTCTCAAATGGGAACACCTCATATCAATGCCTTTGCCACTTACTGGAACATCAAACTTCCTTTTCATCTCCTGTTCCACACCCATCAGTTCTAGGAGTGGATGCATTCAATCAGGACTGGAGGGCATTTCTCATCTATGCTTACTCTCTGATCTGACTCTTATCCAGTGTTCTATACCTCATCCAGACCACTCCTTGTCTAGTCTTGTTTGTTGTTCCATATCGGCCTGCTCAGCCTTGGTTCCCTCATTTTTGGCTGTTACTTGTGTAACATCCCCTGTCCTTACCCCCTATCTGTGTTTCTCCTCATTCCGATAATGTTTATTCCAACTTCATCAAACACCATCTTCACGCTTGACTTTTGTCAGGTACATGGCCTGACTCCTCGGAACGTGTCTTTCCTTTCTCAAACCATCAGATTTCTTCCTTGACCATTTACCAAAGGCATTGATATACCTTCTGACTTTGGTCTGTGTACCATGGCTTCTGTCTTACAGTCTCTCTGCTTTCCCAATTCTTCACCTGGTTGTTTGACCAGGGTTTATCCATTTTGACTGTGTCTGGTTATCAGGCTGCTCTGTAGAATACCTTCCATTTTTTTTTGGTTCTGTAATGTTTTCTCCTCCCTGTTATTTACCTCCTTTTCTATTCCTTTCATATTTTTCGTTCTCCACATTCCTTTGTTGTACTGGATTGGTATCTTAAGGTGGTCTTAATGCCCTTTCTCATTCTCCCTTTGAACTTCATGCTATGTTTTTCTTGTACTATCTTTCCCTTAAGCTCTATTTCCTCCTCATTCATCATCGTTTGGATATTTATGCCAGTAATGTTTCTCGCACCCTTTACCATTCCTTTTATTTTATCCTCTACCATGACCAGTCCTTCCTCTCCAAGACCTGTGCTGCCCAGGAAGGTGGTTTGACTTTCTCACCCATTTCCTTACCTTCAATTTCCCACCTGTACTTCCATTCCAATTCAGATAGGCTTCTTCGTCCGGTTCACTCCTTCAGATATTATGTGGCTCGTACTGTCACTTTTGGGGGTTCACATTTCCCACTGTTTATTCCCTGGAACCCTTCTGTTTCCTATGATCTGTCACCTATTACTCACACTGGTTGGGTTTGTCAATTCGTAAGGCTGTCATATTCGGACTTGTCCATGGATGGTCGCCATTTCCACAGTGTCTCTTCACATCAAGTTTGTCACATTATTTTGTATTTGGCTGCTTGCCTTTGCCATCCTTTGAAGGTCATTCAGGCTGGGATGTGAACTACTCCCAATACCTTCATTGCTCATTATCTACAGGACCTAGCTGTTTCTTCCTCTGGCAGATATCATCTTCCTCCCATGGCAATTCTGCACACACCTGTGCATTTGACTGGGTTAAGTCTGATCACTTCCTTTACTTTATGTTTTCTTTTCAGCTTCCCCAATCTTCACATCTACTTTACAGATCCAACCTTGTAGCGGATGTTGGTCAGATATGCTTTGCCTCAAACCCACACTAGTTTTGAATATATATAATGCTCACTGTAGACATGGGATGTTTCTGTAAGACAACAAGCTGCTTACCCAGTGGTATATATATATATATATATATATATATATATATATATGTGTGTGTGTGTGTGTGTTCTACTGTTGTTGTACTATGAGTATATTAATTAAATTAGTACGTAGTGTCGTCAC